CTGCTGAATGTCTTTTTGGCCATCGCTGTGGACAACCTTGCTGATGCTGAAAGTTTAACATCTGCACAGAAAGAGGAGGAAGAGGAAAAAGAAAGGAAAAAGCTAGCTAGGTAAATCCATTTGCATACACCTATCTGCACTCATGTGCATGTATACCTGTGTGTATAATTACACACACATTATGCAGATATATATGTGCAAGTATGTGTGTATATGTAATATGTGTTGTAATATGTATTTATAAATTCTCTGTGTGTATAGATTATATATGTGATTAATATAATTATATATGGAATTACATATATACAATTTTTAATGAAAAAGAATTCAAACTAAAGGGCAAGAAGGTGTCATGAGCTGGAAGTCCTCACGGTTGCAATGGTGGGGGCATAGGAAAGGAAGTCTGGGTGACTGATGATCTTTCAGAGCATCAGCAGAGAATGACTGTGAAATGTGGTCAATGTTACAACCCCGTTTGAATCTCCCTGTTACCTCCCAACTGCTTTGGACCACAAGGCATATTTTCAGACTTGTTCCCACGACACAAGATTCAGCAGCTTCCTTCTCTTTTGATGCCACATGCTGTTCTTCTCTTGCCAGTTTTTTTTTTTTTTTTGATGTTTCTGTAAGAGTCTTAGGAGGCAGGAGCTGGATGTAGAGCTTCTCTGTCATTCCCAGCTGCCAACAGTGGTGAAGCCTCTCTTTACTGTTTATTTCTAATTACTATCTTCCATGCCTCTTGGAGTGGATCTCTTGTGCAGATCTTTGTGCTTTGTCCTGCATGCTTGTCAGCGGGTTTCCCTGGCTCTGGGGGTGCAGTGAGGGGCAGAACTTTGCAGGCTACCTAGTGGAAGTCCACAAGATATGGGCTGAAAATGGTTCATGCCTTTGTTATCAGGTGCACAAAAAGACCTCTAGTGAAAGACCGCATACGCATGTGCACAAACACACAGGCCTGTATTTCCTCCCCATGTGCGTGCACACACACACGTGCACACACACACGTCACTGAGAAAGCTATAAAATAAAAGCATGCTATATAAAATTAGAGCAGGGTCTCTGCCTGCAGATGAGGACAAGGTGGAGCTGCTGGTATATAATCTGGACTTGGAATGGAGATACCAGCCAGCTGATCATTCTCATGGTGTGTGCTGTGCTACATGAAGTTCCCGAAAGGGAAACAGCTTTTCACCTTTGTAACTCTTTACTTTTTATCTTGTAATATTGTTAGGACTGCTAGTCCTGAAAAGAAACAGGAGATAGAAAAAACAGCTGTGGAGGAGGAGATGAAGGAGGAGAAAATTGAGCTGAAATCAATCACTGCTGATGGAGAATCCCCGCCTGCTACCAAGGTAAGGTCTGCTGCCAGCCAGCCTCCTCTGTGCAGTGATGGCATGAACAGCTTGGGTTTCTGAGGTAATGAAAACCCTCTGCCCTGTCTGATAAAGGCTTTGCTTCTTTTTCCATTTCTGTCAGATCAACATGGACGATTATCAGCCCAATGAAAATGAAGAAAAGAGCCCATATCCCACAACAGAAGCACCAGGTGAATGTCTTCTTCCTCTTAACCCTGATTTGACAAAGAGAAGCTCCAGTTGCTAATGCACATAAAGCCAAATTGTGGTACCAAGTATGCTGAATATGTAATGCTCTCATGACAGGACAGGATAATGTGCTTGCCTGTGTTTGCACAGGTGTGGACTTGGTCCTTTGCAGTCCCTGTAGTGATCAGTAGTATTTGATTTGGTTCTCTGTAAAGCTCTGTATTGGGAAACAGAGAACCAAATCAAATCATATACAAGACTCTGTATATGAAAATATACATGACTTTGTTTTCAGTCTATTTTTTTCAGTACTCAGGGGTCAGGGGAGACTCACAACAGATAGTCCTGAAAGGCAAAGTGCTGAATGCCTTTTTGCACTTTTTTCTAATCAAAAAAGACAGTGTGACTTATTAACATAATTCTAAAGACGTAAGATCTCAGGCTAGAATTAGAAAAAAATAAGCTAGATCACTAGTTAGGCTAGTTTTCACATCAGTTGGACCAAATTGACTTCATCCTCAGATACTTAAAATATTGGTTGAAGAAATCTCAGAACTTCAAGCAGTTTTTCTTCAAGAGATCCTGAATGGGGGATGGGGTTGAAGCAGAATAGTTATAAGCTGGTCAGTTCAATTTCCATTCTTGGAAAAGTGCTGGAACAAATGATTAAACTATATAGCTGCAAGATAAGGAGATGACTAGCAGCCAGCATAGGTTTGCCAAGAACACATCATGTCAAACCACCCTTATTTTCTTCTAAAAGGGGCTGACAAGACTTGTAGATAGGAGAAAAGAAGTAGATGTCATATTCCATAGCTTTGCTAATGCTTTTGACTGTCTCTTATAACATTCTCATAAGCTAGCCAGAAAAATATGATCTAGACAATTGGGAGATAAACTGGTCAGATCTTTTATGTGGAGAGAAGTGATGGCCCCAGTGAGGTTCTACAGCCCAAGGGCCTGTCCCGAGTTCAGTTTGGTTCCTTGTTAATGACCCGAATGATGGAATAGGAAATATGCTTATTACATTTGCTGATGACATGAAGCTAGGAAGGACAGAAAGCATGCTGGAGGGCAGCATTAGAATTCAAAGAGCTCTTGGGGAACTGGATAAATGGTCTAAATAAAATTGAAAGTGCCAGGCTCTATACATAGACAGGAATAAACAACTCACAATAAAGGATCTTAGGTGACAGCTATTTAGGTAATAGTCCTTGAGAAAATAATCTGAATCTTGTGATCAGAAGCTCAACAGGTGCCAACAGCAGATTTTGCCATCTTTCAAAAGGCGACCAAGTAGTGAGATATATAAAGAGTGAAAACATGACCCGTTAGTCCAGTTATGGGTTTCTTCTAACGGCTGGGGAAAGCTAACCAGAGGAAAGCAGTTGTTTTATTCTTTTCACCACTGATAACATCTCAACTGGCATATCGTACCTCATTTTGGGTGCTCTGCTTAGGAGAAGTGGGGCTGAATTAGGAGTGTAGAAGAACATGGTGAAAACAAAGCTAGTAGGAAGCAAGACCTAAGATTGAAAGAATTGTGATTGTTTGAGCTAGGAAAGGTAGGAGAAACATCTTCAAATGCATAAAAGCCTATTACAGGTGGGAGGGGAATTATCTCCATTTTGAAGAAGTTACAGATTTAAGATTCACATCCAGGGAGAATTTTCGAGTCTTGAGGCTAGAACAGATTGTGAAGATGGTTGTGGAAGCTCAGCACCACTGAATGTTGTTAAGAACAGGTGAGAAAAATATCTGCCAGAAAAGGCTTAAACATAATAATTAGTTGATCCTGTCTTAGCAGAAGCATGCACCAGAGGGTCTTTTGTGATCCTTTCCTGTTCTGCCCTTTTGACTTTCTATGATTATGTAACAGGCTGGAATAGATTATAAAACACACTCTCTCTGTTCCATGATTCCTAATAAATAGCTGATAATAAGTTAGTGTGATAGGGTAAAAAAAGACACAATAGTTCATTTTAAATAGATAGACAAGGATTTCAGACAAACAAAAAAGGGAAACTGTTCATTACATTTGATTTTCAGTACAAAAATCCTCGCATTTGCTGTACTTGTATTCATCCATATTTATAGCTCATTTATCAGGAATAAAGTGTGTTTCCAACACCATACAATACTGTTTTAACATTGCCTGGGGCAGACCACTGGCTTTAATCTTCCCAGTACCTCTATAGGCACAGGCACTTACAGGCCCCCATCCCCAGTTGCTAAGAGGTTTGTGGGAGTCCTTAGTCAGAAGCACAAAATTAAAACAGCTTGATACAATTATGTTTCTCAGATGACTTGGATTTGTAGATCATTACATTTTTTTCAAGTGAAGGTACAATCACCTGTATATCAAATTTAAGTCTACTGATACCTTCAGTGAATAGCTGAATAGATACCTTCTGCCAATAGCTTAGAAATAGTCCAGCATCTGAACTATATGACAAAAACTACACCTACAGCATGTGTCAGGGGCATTTTATCTGCAGTCGTGCATAGGATTGGAGTGCTGAAAATTAAGTAAAAACACCTTTAACTGCTGCCTTGGGATGCCATCCCTGGATTGGCATACTTTTGAACACAACCTAAAATTTGAATGGATGATCAGGTTTTCTCCTCTCTCCTAAAGTATTAGCAATGCAAAGGGACAGCATTTTGGTTATTTGCCATTGTATGATGCCGTTTCTAAACAGGCCTGTTCCCTGAGTTGTTTATCAATCCTTTGTGAAGAATGAAGTTACTTTTTCTCTTTTCCAACCCTCTGAAAAATCTTAGCTTTTTGCTGAAGATGTTCTCTAACAGCTCACACAATTACTGACCACTTCTTTCAGAGTTCATGGAAGTCAGCCATAAGGTTCAAACACAATAAAGTTTTCTATATCCCTTGGTAGATCAGATTTACCATAGTCATCTATGCCATTCTTCTGTATAAAGCTCAGAAACACCAAGGCCCTCTCAGAGCTGATGTGGCATGTCACTTCTGCCTTGTGTAGTCAGTTTTGGGGAGCAAGGCTCCAAGGCTTTCCCCAACATTAGCAAGCAAGAATTTCCCAATCCCCACCTGTACCCCTCTCCAGTTCCCTTGTGGCCATCTTACCAGTCCAGAATCCTTCTGCTGATTGCTGACCGGTCCAACTGTGGTACAGGAGATGCTGTGCAGCCATATATGGCCCATCAGGGAACATACCTTTTCTTGCCCACTTGCATGCGGATCCCCTTCAGCTATGCTTTGAGTGAAGCATCCTATTGCTTCTTAGATGCAGTCAGCTGGTTCTACCTATTTTCTGTTTATGATTTAAGCTGTTAATGCCTGTGACTTTTCCATAGCTGTGTACCATTCCATCCTCTGAAAACATCCTTCACCCTAAGCCAGTGTTCAGAAACAATTTGAAATGGTCACTTCATTTGTTTTCCCTTTATTCTTTCACCCTACATTGCTCAATCTCCTATTTGTTTGTGCTGCCTCAACCGGTTTTCTCAATAGCTTCTTCTGACTCTATTTGCTACACAGTTTTGCTCTGAGGCCCTAAAATACTCGGTGTACTTGCCAGCTCATCAGATCACCTATCCTCTTTGTTGGAGGGAGAGACTAGTTCTTCCAGAGATTTGTGTACACTAAAAGGATTATTATGATGATATGTTTATTATAGGAAGACAGGGAGCTAGTCTTGCAGTCTAGCACAGGAACATACAAAGAATTCAGAATGTCAGAAGGTAAAAGCTTGGGATGATTCATGGGAGCTTGAAGCAAAGCAATGTCCTTACACAAGAGCTCTGGTCTTTGTACAGTGAAAAAAAAAAACAGTCTTCATCATTGAATTTCTCACTGATGCTGCACTGTAGCCTATGTGTGCTTATGGCTTCACAACCAAAGAACATCACCATTCTAATGAAGCATAATTCAAGATGATAGTCTCAGATTTGAAATTTCTTGAACTTTAGGAAAGTTCAAACCTAGATCTGAACTTGGCAGCTCTGAGTCATATTTCTTTATGATTTTGTGGCAAGCTTGACTAGAAGTGTCACTTTTTAAATACAAATATTCCTTAAGTATAGAAAACAGTCAAAGAGCAGGTGTTGGATTGCAGCCGATGTGCTGCCCAGCCCACCTGTTACACCATGTTGACCTTTGCTTCTGCGAATGCTGGCAACTGTGCAACATACTGCTTCTATATGCAGGTAGATAGCTTAGGTAGTGACCTGAGCTGAGGCTGTAATCATATTATTCTTTGCATATTTGGGCCTATGTGATCATAAGCATTGTTATTTTGGACTGTTAAGGAAGAAAAAGAATTTGCTTACCTCGCTTATTGTCAGCCCACTCTGAAATCTATAGATAAAAGGTGCAAGTGCAAAGTATAGTAATATTATATAAATACAAGCATTAACATTAACAGCAATTTTACAGCTACTGTGCACAGAAGTACTTCTGAAAGACTGTTTCTTTAACTAATAAAGCCTGCAGAAAGAGTATTATAAAGTATATTACAATATAAAATTGATCTGTTAAAAATAGACTGGTTTAAGAGGTACAAACTCTATGTACCAGCTCAAACATTTATCCAAAAATCTATCAAGTGAATTTCAGCTGAACTCTTGCTACTAGAAGTGCAAAGAAAGAATCCTATTTGCATGCAATAATGGCATGCACTGAGAAGGCCACTTTTCTCCTGTCTCCGACATCTAGATTAGGATCTGTGCTGATTCATCTGTTCTTTCTGATGTGTCCACTACAAGATCAGGTACAGTACCTGACCCTAAAGGAACAGGCTCTTACTGGAATTTATCTCACTTTATGGACTCAAGATAAACCTTTTAACTAGAGTTTCTTCCTTTTCATTGGCAGAAAGATGAATCAGTTGCATCTGACCTTAAAGCTCCTTCCTTAAAATACTTTCTCCTGTCTTGCTGATTAAGTGAGAGAATTAGGATCTTTAAAATAGCAAAATCCTATCATGTTATTTACAAAACAGCATCTGACTTCAGCAGGTAGAAGAAAACCTCAAAGGTGGAAGGTTCTCTTTTACATACCACTCTAGGTTACCCCAATTCTGCACTTTTTCCCATGAGGGTGCTCACTGATCCGCACAGTGCCTGGAGATCTGCTCCATAGGCATCAGGTTCAAGAGTCTCAGCCTTGTCCCTGCATTTTCAAACTTCACCCACTGAATTATGAAAGGGGACAATTTTAAGAATTTCTGATTGGTGTAATTCAAAGTGCCCATGGTCCATGTTTGCTCTGGGGCATACATGCACTGATCCGGACACAATCCCAGATGTGGTAGTGGCTCCATGAAGAGCCTTACAAAGAGGAGAAAAACAGATCTTGATAAACTGGAGGAATGGTCTGAAGAAAATAAGATGTGGTTCAATAAGGATGAGGCCAAAGTGCCACTCTTGGGAATAGTCTACAGCACAAATACAAAGGGGAAGTAACAAGCTAGGCAGCTGTTCTGTGATAAGTAATCTGTGCTTTGTGCAGATCAGAAACTGATGGCAAATTAATGTCAGTGTCCATGAAGGACATTTAAACAGAAGGATAGTATTATAAGTAGTAATCTAGGTCTCCTGCACAGGTAGAACCTCAACTGCAGGTCAATCCTGCAGATAATCTGGAGGAAAGTAGCAAGAATGATCAGAGACCTAGGGAACACAGCACCTCAGGAAGGACTGTTGTTTTGCTCTAGGAATCAGAAATCCTCACAGGGGCATAAAAATGGTCCTCAAATATGTAAAAGCCTTCTGCAAAAGGAAGGGAATTCTCTATATTCTGTGTCCATGGAAAATAAGAAAACAGATAATGTATTTGAGACCATAGCAAGAAAGGTTCAAGTCAGTCATTAGAAGCTTTTTTTTTTTTGCAGAAGAGACAGTGAAGCATCTCAGAAGACTGTTGTGAGGATATTGTGGGTTTACAGCATTAGTGGTTTTGTGGAGAGACTAGATCAGTTTCCACCAGGATGAGCACTGAGCAACAGAGGCTGCCTTGGAGAAGGGAAGTGGGCAAGGAACCTTAAGCTTTCCTCATCCTATTTCAATTGTTCTTAGTTTTTCGCTCTAGTTATGACACAGACAAATGCACCAACACTTCAGAATGGGTTGTATTTTGTATTAAGACAAAAATGCTTCTTGCAGCAGAGGAAGATGAGGAAGAACCTGAGATGCCGGTCGGCCCTCGGCCTCGCCCGATGTCTGAGCTGCACCTCAAGGAAAAGGCTGTGCCCATGCCTGATGCCAGTGCTTTTTTCATCTTCAGTCCTAACAACAGGTATTTAAGAGACTGCTTAGCTGGAATAAGGAAGCAGAGAGCAAGTATCCCTTTCACGCTGGGCTCCAAAGTTTATGTGGTGCAGAGCTCCCTTCCAGCAGTTCATACTAAAGACCTCCTTTAACCAGTCTCTCCTTTAGAGGCCCTGGCATGAAATCCTCATGAAAGCACAACTGTAGGGAGCCCCCTCACAGTGTTCAGTGGGAGTTCATGGCACCTGCAAGGCTGACTGAAGACACAAATCATGAAAGCTTCGGAAATTAGGGAGTTGGAAGCAAGTCACTAATTGGAATTCCCCAACAAATTCGGGTCCAAATTGCAAGCAAACCATCATGCAGTCAGTCAAGTGTGAGGTAGGAGCTTCCTGTTCTAATGGCTGCTCAAAATCCACTCCCAGTAGGGAGCTCATGTGTTTCTGCTCATTCCTACACTTCAAGAACAAGCACACAAGAGGGAAGAGGAGGATGAGAGTCCATAGGTCTGAGGGGAGGCTGAGGAGAGTAATTCTTCTCTCACACCTCTTCCCTTGGGCTCCTGCAATGTGGCTTCACATTGCCCCACCTGTCTTTCCAACACAGATGTGTGAGACCAGTACTGTGAGTGGAGGGCTGAGCTATGACACAGAGGAATATATCTTTCCAAGGGTGCAGAAATGAGCTCACTGCCCAGTGGTCTGTGCACTATCGTGTATCCCAACACCTCCCTTGGGGACTTGGCCACCAAACACATCCCCAAAGTAAGGCAGGGCTAAAAAAGCACAGCTGAATTCAGAGCCAGTCTTTCCACAGCAGGGCTGTGACACTCCTCCTTGGATATTGTGCAAGAGGGAAGAACTGATGATGGTTGGGACTCATGGACTCTAATGCCAGCTTTGCCACCCACCCACTGTCACTTGTTGAAGTAAATTAACCTGTGCAATCATCTGTAAAATTGCTATAATGGGGGCTTGGAGGCTTAACAGCCAAAAGTAGAGCTAAATAGATTAATGAAGTGCCTCTAGAATTATGCATAGGACTGTTATGAGGTTTAACTCCTTGTATGCTGATACCAACATATGGAGGGTGCTGTAATGGTCTCTAGTAAGCATGCTGTTAATCACAGAATCACAGAATGTTAGAGATTGGAAGGGACCTCGAAAGATCATCTAGTCCAATCCCCCTGCCGGAGCAGGAACACCTAGATCAGATCACACAGGAACGCATCCAGGCGGGCTTTGAATGTCTCCAGAGAAGGAGACTCCACAACGTCTCTGGGCAGCTTGTTCCAGTGCTCTGTCACCCTCACCGTGAAGAAGTTTTTTCTCATATTCAAGTGGAACCTCCTATGTTCCAGCTTGCACCCATTGCCCCTTGTCCTATCACTGGATGTCACAGAGAAGAGCCTGGCTCCATCCTCCTGACACTCACCCTTTACATATTTATAAACATTGATTAGGTCACCCCTCAGTCTCCTCTTTTCCAGGCTAAAGAGACCCAGCTCCCTCAGCCTTTCCTCATAAGGGAGATGCTCCATTCCCTTCATCATCTTTGTGGCTCTGTGCTGGACTCTCTCCAGCAGTTCTCTGTCCTTCTTGAACTGAGGGTCCCAGAACTGGACACAATATTCCAGATGCGGTCTCACCAGGGCAGAGTAGAGTTGTTTGATGGGAGACTGCTACTTCTTTACTTGCTAGTTTCCCACTAAGAGCACCAAGAATTTTATATTAGGGTGATGTTTTGCAGATGTCCTGCATGGCATAATGTCCTCCCAGAAGCCCTTTGCAAACACCAGTCTGCCCTATATCCATTTGGCCGGGTCTGTGCCCTGTTAGCAAGGTAGATCCCCCATAGCTCCTGCTCAGTGATGCTCCAGCCCCAGCTCAGAGACATTGGCCACCCCAAAGCCCATTTTTTCCGCTTTCCCACTAGATGAATGGGGAATGCTTCTGCAAATGAAAGCAAGCTGTATAATTTTAGGTTGTCAGGTTTCAGACCATGTCTAAATTACAAAAGGTTCTGTCAGGAGGGAGTGACAAACGCACAGAGCACAAGCCCTGCAGGCAGCCGGTCGCCCCGTGTGCATCACAGCATGAGGTGGAGAGCCAAGGCTACCCAGCACCCAGCAGGGTCAAGCACAGCTGCCTGGGCCCATTGCTCTCCCTGCTGCTGGGGCAGAGGAAAGCTGTTCTGCAGAACAATCTTCCAGGGCCAGTCCTGGTGCTAAAAGAGGAGGGGGGAATGTTTCCCAGGTCTTGCTGTTCTCTGAGAGATAAAGTTGTGCCTCTCCTCTCTCTTGCAGGTTTCGTGTCCACTGCCATCGAATTGTTAACGATAACATTTTCACCAACCTGATCCTCTTTTTCATCTTGCTCAGCAGCATCTCCCTGGCAGCTGAGGACCCTGTCCGACACCTCTCCTTTAGGAACCAAGTATGCTTCCCATCCTTCTTCCCTCTCTGTGTATTAAAAGTGTGGTACAAGCAGATCATGAGTTGAAGCCAGGAAAGGCAGAAAAGACTGCATCAGAGGCTTTGGGAGTGGCTGTCTTCCCTGATTTGTGCCTTTTCAAGGCTGTGTGTGAAATTGTTGGGTTTTGCAGGGAACGTGAGTCAATGTAGAATTTGGCTTCTAGTTCATTTCAGAGTGTGTGTAGGAGAAGGAAGGACAGGAGGCTTATGCAAAATTGTCGTTCCCTGGGATTTAAGGCATTAGAAATGTACTGCAGAAACATTGATTAGGGTACACATAATTCTAATTTGGGAGATTTACAGGTTCCCTTTGGAACATTTGCCACATGTTTTTCCTTTGAGCTAAAAAACCCAGGGCCTGATTTTCACTTTATTCGCACTGGTGTAAATCAGGAGTAAAATTATTGAGTTTGATGCAGTCACTCTGGGAGAAATTGATGTAATGAAGGTTATAATCAGACTACTTGAATGCAAGCTGCAAAGCTACCATTAAATTTGAGATGATCCTCCATATATATTGTTGTCCTCTGTTCTCCATGCTGGGGAAAGGAGGGGAAGGTATTCAGCACAGAGATACATTCTCATCTTCTTTCCTAACCATTCTTATAAGCCTTTTGAAATGTTCAGTGCTCCCTAAACTTTGCCAGTGGTTGTTTCCATTAATCTGGGGTTATTGAAGAAATCTGAAGGGTCATATGTGAGACTTCTGATCTCTGCTGTCTGCAGTAACCTTTTTGTTCCTTTAAGCTGGAAGAGCTTGCTAGACTTAAAGAGTGAGACAATTTTTTTATTGTTTAATAATAAAATATTAATTTAATGCTCAGTGTTCTACCTCCCTGAATTATCCTAGCCTGAGCATGCATTTAAACACATATGTGCATGCAGAGAAGGTGTTAATGGAAGTTTATTCCTGAGCTTATCTCAGAGCTGCTTTGCAGTTTGTCCTGAAGGAGGGTACTAAATAATACAGTCAAACCTGTGCCACCAATGACCCCCCTTGTGCATGGTTGAGTGTTCCCACTATGTAGGGAGAAATGTATGTCAATATGTAGTAGCGCTGCAGCATGATGTGAGCTGGCATATAGGCTTCTGGCATGTCACAGAAGTTGCCACAGAATCTGTAGCAAATTTAAATGAGGAAAAAAAAAAAATAGTCAAAGCTGGTTGTCCTGGATAAAAGACCTAAAGATTTGGGGCAAAGTGTTGTCTTGTATATTTGAAGCCACTGATGTTGCTTGAAAATCTGTCTTGAATTTTTGCAGGTACAGATGTTTAAAATGTATCATACAAGGGGACAATGACAAGATGTTTGGGTTGCAATATGGTCTGCCTTTACACTTTGACAGTAGAACAGTAAGATTGTGTCCTGCTTTGTGCCCACACAGAGGCCTGGGAGGGAAAGAAAGAAAGCTGAAAGCAAATGAATTGCCTCTACCTTCACTCACTCTGTGTTCCCACAACATGATCAGGCATTAACCTGTGCACAAGGACTCATGCAGACCAGTACTGCTGTTGACACAAACTGTCCCAGATAAGGAAGATGGGAACAGAGTGAAGCTCCTCCAGCAAGGGCTAGTGAAGAGGCTGGGACACTGCTTCTGTCCCAGGGCAGGCTAGTGGCTGCATCTTTCTTGTGTCACACAGGGCTCAGGCAGCAAGTTTTTGGAAGTGCCTCCCCAGTCTGATCGAACGGCCTTCAAAGCCCAAGCAAAATTCATATTTAGATAATAGTAAATTTGCCTGATGATAAATAGTACTGCCTGCACAGGTGGAGCAGTGGTCGTTTTCATTAGGCATGTTTTCCTCTATAAGGGACAATTTTACTAGCTGCAGCTTTGGGGCCAGATTCACCAGTATGCTCAAGCTGCTTTGCAGTGCTCTGGTGATGTAAAGCAGCTGCAGGTACAGCTTAATCATCCACTTTAATTAAGTTTATGGCTGTTTTATGTTGGCAGCATCATGCAAAGCAGCCTGAGAGTACCCATGAATCTGGCCCATTGATTATAAAATTATTCCATTGATATAATAACCAAATGTCAAGACCTACAAGGCAGCAACGCAAAGGACATTTCCAGTTATTATGCATGTAAAATAATATAGGATCTGTCCATCCTTGAAATGGCCCTTTTTTAATTCTCTAAGTATCAAAAATTGATAGAGCACCAGACAACCTTGAAAAAGTGAGAACAATTTGGGTTCAAAAACTTAACAGTGACCTGAAGAATTTTAAGTTACACCATAGCAGTAGGTGATACATCCCCCCATGTGACATTCAGTGTCTGCAAATTAGTCCAGATTCAGACTGTGCTTAAATAGTGCAATCTAAAATAACCCTGTAGTTTGCAGTAGTTACCCCACTGCCCATGGCATACCAAGCTGTGAGAATCTAGCCACATATTAATCTGAGTTAGGGTATGGGCATTGACCATTTGTAGTGTAAATAACACTAAAATGGCTTGGGATATTGGAATACGTTGGAAACAGAGTTCAGTTCTGGTCCCATTAGTCAATGAGAAAGTTCCCATTTGCCTTTGTGGGATGTCAAACGATTGGCAGTGAACAATGTTTCTGCCCTTGGTGCTGTTACTTTGAAAGCCACTTTACACTTCCAGACTTGCTGTTGCCTTCTGTGACACTCTAGGGTCACTTTTTGTGATCTGCTATGCACACCACCCCATCACCGAGCCTAAGTTCATGAGAATTATGAGTTTTCCAACTTGCCTGTTATCCAGGATGCCAATAGAAAGATGCAGGATCTAAGTTAGGCACCTTTAGCACACGACCAAATTATGGTTACAGTCCAAGAGCTGGGATTCTGTTCAACTGGCAGAGTCTTTGTTATTCATCCTAATCCAGGGCAAACCAGGATAGAGAAGAAAAATAGCTAGAGCATGAATTTGCAGTTTGGTTTTTTTTTCCTTTGTGAAAGGCACACAACAAGCTTGAATGTAAGTTAATAAGAAGGAATCTAATGTTTTCTGCTGATACCAGGCATCCTTGTATTCTCAGTTTGGATGTCTATTTGGGAAAACCCTTGAATCGTCCGCTCTTTTCCAGATTGAAAAAAATAATAATAATAAAAAATAAAATAAAGAGGATAAAAAGAAAAGGAAAAAAAAATAAAAAAAAGCAAAACCTACAACGATGACCAAAAAGTTATTTTGCCTCTAGAGCCCTCATGGGATTGTAACTCAGAAAAGACTTCATGCAATGTGCTTCTTGCCCTCTGTGTCAGGACCTTCACTGCATTCAACAGGACGTTGTCACAAAACCATTTCCTATATAGTCCTCCTTGTTCCCTTGTTAAACAGCATATGTATTTGATTTTGAACTGTGATTTCCCATTCAAGTGATCAGTCACTGATCTACCCTCCCCGCTCCTATTCCCTTTTGTTTTTACAGATTCTCTTTTATTTTGATATAGTTTTTACTGTCATTTTCACCATTGAAATTGCTCTGAAGGTAAAGTGCCCATCTTCTCTGCCATTACTTGTTCACAAGCTTACTAGTTTTCTGCCACTATCTGTTGCTAACACACACGCCTGTTTGTTCCTGGGTCACGCTCAGTACCACTAACCCAATTGTGCTTATTTTTCAGATCCTAGGCAATGCAGACTATGTCTTCACTAGTATCTTTACATTAGAAATTATTCTTAAGGTAACCAACCTGAGCAATACACTCGTTTTCTCCTTCCTTTCTTTCTTTCTTTCTTTCTTTCTTGCTCTCTGTTGCTTTCTTTTTCTTTTTTTTAACCCCTTTATTATCTCTACACAAAGGATTGTTTATCTTCTGATTTTATTGTTTTGCTAGTTGCTTAAAAAGTCTTCTGTGAAATGTTGATATTCAAACTTGTAATTCGGAACCTATATCAAAACAATGCTTTTTACGAGAATTGCAATGATAAGATGATTCTGTTGGGAAAAGTATGAGGGGACCGAGAAAAAAAGGCCATTGCCCCATACATTTCTCTCTCTACCCTGGCCAGTGAGAGGTTTTTTTGCTATGCAAGGAACACATGCTACAACACAAAGAGAAGGTCTCCATTCTGCACAAGTCATGAAGCCAGGCTAGAGGGCAGCTGATTACTTCTGTGATGTTACAGGCTGCACAGTCAAGTAGGAGACAGGGAATGCAGTGCAGAAGCTCACTTTTTAGTGTGGAGAGGTAACCAAGAGTACAAATCACTGAAACACCAAGGACTGTAGCTGCAAATGAAAACTGCTGCATCGCCTGTTTGAAACCTGGCTTCCCGTTTCCCAGGAACATGCTCTGTACCAAGGGAAATGTGCAGGAGAATGGTTTGGCTCAGGAGAGATAAAATTAGGCTGCCCTGTTCTTAACTCCAATTTTCCCAAATCGGTAGGCTAATAATTTAAATAACAGTAATTGAGCAAAGTTCTGGCTTTCTAAATGCTAGATTCACTTGGCAGGTTGGTTTTATTCTCAGCAAGCTAGTTCTAAGTGCTGGCAGGCAGTACCTCTGAGTTGCTCAGATTTTGCAGCTCAAGACCCTAATAACAGTATCCATACTAAAGGCTGTCAAGCAGAGTGGCCCCTGCCTATTTCTTTAGAGAAACATGCTTTTTGATATGACTTAAAATCACCAAAGCCATAATGTTCTCCAAAGAGATGTACATATTACGCTAGTGTGCAATGTGCATCTGTGTTTATACGTTATATCTGAACATGCGCATAGCAAAGGCTGATCAAAAAGGTCGACAAAAAAGGAAAACATCTCAACAGCAACTTTAAAAATAAAACCGTAGTTCAAGACACCTGTTTGAACTTAAAACTACTAATTCTGCTCCCACTGAAGTAAACGGCGACACTCCTAATGTCTTCAGTGGAAGCAGAACCTAACTCAACCCATTGGCATATTGCTCTGTTTTCATCAGAGTGTACTGCATAGTACCCGAGCCTTCCCAATGTCCTCCTGTTAACTTCAGTGAATTTATGTCAACACCTCTAGATATTCTCTGTGTTCGAGTAGTAGAGGAGTACAAGGACTACAAATGTATAAGAAATTCTTCTGGTCTTATCCTGTCAGTTCCTGCCTCACAAATTGCTTGGTTTTTCAGTGCATGTTTCTCTGCTGCCTTGCATTGAGTACAATGTTTTGCACAACAGCAAAGTTTGTGTAAATGATAAGAAACAAAATAATAAATGGCCATAGGATGTTCAAGGCTGTAGAGAAACAAGCTTCATCTGCCCTCATGTTGCCAATGACACCTGCAAGCGTCACACTGCCATGGTGGAGTCTGGTGAATGTTAGCAAGGTGACCACCTAGTTTGTTTAACCGGTATCCTAAAAGCTTGTTCAGTGCCCCAGATGGGAAGAAGACATAGATTATACACCCTTTGAGAGTCTCTTCTGAAATAACAAAATCTCTCAACAGGCTTGAAAGAACCACAGTGTCTATAGAACTTAAATTCAGCAGAGCGTCCCCTCCTGATTTCAATGGTGTCTCCTTTCTTTCAAGATTGCCATACAAAATCTAACCAGTAAAGGGCATCTTTACCACCTTTGTTATGGCAAGAACCTCCTTCCCCACCTTCCCCAACTGAATGTGTCTATAAGTATAAATTCCAAGCCAAGATGAGAGTTTATACTTCCTACCCTTCTAAGTTCTCTCTAACTGATTGATAGTCAGTTCCTTGATGTCATGGATGTTTGGTGAAAAAAATCTGATGTACCATGTGCCCTTCCACCCTCCTCTGAATAATCATGTCAAAGATAGACATGGCTGGAAACCACTACAGACATGCCAGCCTGAGCTATTAGTGGGATCCAGAAAACTAGTTTGAATTTCTAGTTCACACTTCTCAGCTGAGAGTCTGGCTAGATCTCATCATGGAGGAACAGTCTTGTGGTATCTGCTTCAAGTTACTTTAGACATCTAACTTAGGTGAGATTCAGAGGACCAAATTTAGAAACCTGTGTTCCTCACCCAGGTAATGGAGGGACATTAGCAGTTGTGGGGATGGGGTTTCTTCAAAGCAGATGCATTACACTGCTCACCCAGTCTAAGGTAGGTAACACAAATACCCCCATCACCTCACCCTCTTTAACCGTGCCAGACTCATTTAGTCACATTCCATAACTTAGCTCAGTCTAAAATTCAAATTCTGAGCTCGTAAGTGATAGGTCTGACACTGTGGCTGAGACCCATTTCTGTTTACACTGTCATTTAATCGAATTCTGGAGCTGTGACATCCTCCTCAAAACCAGCAGGTGTTCAATACCTGTTCACACCCAGAATGGGCAGAGAGTCCCTTGTAAGTTATGCAAATTTTTTCCCTTCCTCTGCTGGGTGGTGTTCATAATGATTACCTACACAAAGAGACCACTCTGTCTCAAGGAATCTTACCTTGGGCTTTGTGAGGAAAGCCAAGGGGAAAATGCAACTGCTTCTAGAATAAAAATGGAGGAAGCTGGATAAGGATGCAAAAAGGGATGCAGGATTGAGCTGAACAGAAGAAGCAAACCGAAGAGAGAAGGAATTCCTCGTGTTGCTTCGGTTCAGCTCTAAACCATCAAATCTCTGAGGGATTGTTTTTTCTTCATAGAGGGAAGACAGCTCAATTGTCCACTGCAGTTGGTCTAAGCATTGAAAAACATTACAGAAGAACCCTTTTTATTTTATATTTTTATTCAATTTAGCTAAAGAGGCCTTCATATAATATAAACATCATACTCACAAGTGTTCTCTGCCATTGAAGAAAAAGGCAAAAGCATATAATTGCAAAGAGTAGTTTTTGCAGTCATTCTGCTGCTTTGCTGATAAATGTTATGTACTCTATACACTCAAAGTGAGTATTTTCCTCACTGAACCTAGTTTTGGCTTTCCCTAGTCAGGTCTTTCACAGTTATCTTACCATCTTCTTCATTCTGTTTTCTTTCAATGGGGGCTCAACTTCTCCTTTGGGATCTGGGGGTAAATTGTCTGCTATGTTAGAAATACTGCCCTTCCCCAATTATATACTCTCAGCACAACCAGATGAGTTTGATTTCTGAACAGATGCTAATGGCAAAGTGTGTTTCTGTCTTCATGTGCCTTCCTGCAGATGACTGCATACGGGGCTTTCCTCCATAAGGGCTCCTTCTGCAGAAACTATTTCAACATCTTAGATCTGCTGGTGGTCAGCGTTTCTCTCATCTCCTTTGGGATCCAGTGAGTAATCTATTTTCAACTGTCTGGTTTTTGGGGATTGTAGGGCTAGGTTGGGAGGTGATACCTCAGGCTCATTGTCTTATCTGGATAAGATTTTTCTCATGAGCCTGGAAGTATTTTTCTCAAATTATTCAAGACTGTTCAAATTCATCTTCAAGAGGGGAGGTAATAATTGGGAAATGCAACAGTAATGACCTGAAGGAGGAATATTCTAGAAAGAGCAAATGAGAACAAGAAACTTGGTCCGTTGAGAATCATGACACTTAGCTTTGTTCCAAGATCTGATTCACTGTATCTGTTCAGGACAGTTAAGTGAGTTACTGTTCCCTTCTAGAGCCCTCATAACATCTTTGGAAAATTAGGTGATAATGTTTTGCAACTTCATAAGATGTTGTGGTCTTAGTCAATGGGAGACCATCAAGCTCTTGAAGAGCTGTGTGAGAATCTGCAGAGTACTGGTGATAGTGACAGTTGATCTTGCTTCTGTTGCCCCACTTCGCGTTGATTGATCCATTAATTTGCATAATAAGTTTATAGATTTACTTGACTATGTAAAATTCTGTGTGTCGGATAGGGAGTTTCCTCAGTAGAATCACATCTGATAACAAATAAGCTCCCAATTGTTACCATTACAGGTTAGCAGCTCATGTATGTTATGCTCCAGACCTAAGTCAGCAGAAAGATTTGTCAGGTTCGTTGGGCTTTCAGTCAAGGTCTTAAGAATGGCACAGTGCTTGTTTAGACCTGCTGTTTCTTTCTTACAGACCAAATTAGACTCTTAATATGTTAGCAAAAAATCTGTTCCCAAAATCAGTAGGAGGGCCTGATGCCATACAGCATGGAGAAGATTCTCAGACAGGGTTTTAGTCTTGGAAGATGCAGAGAGCTCTGTTGTAGTAGATAGTTGTGTTTGGTACTTAAAATTAACTACACAAGTCATCCTAATCAGTTCAGTGGGAGTTTCCACATCCTTGAATTTATGTACACAGTTTGTTTGTGGGATCAGAGGCCAAACGCGTTGCAGTATCAAACTCCAGGTGGACAACATACCTTTAATGCTGGAGTCACCTGGAGTTTCCACTCTTCTATGAATATTTCAGTGGAATGGTTCTTTGAGCCTTATCTGAAAATGTCTTGTGATTACTACATCTTGGCACAATTTCTGTATCATAGATACAGAGTATTTGGCAGTTTGCCCTGCTTTAAAAAGTACCCTGCCCATGTTCCTTTCCCTTTGTTAATACAGCAGAGATGTTCACGTGAAAGCCAGGAGAATGTATACTGAGCCTGCCCAGATCAGAAAGCAAGACCTATGAAGATTACATCAGAGAGTAGTTTCCTTATGCCTGAAGTGCCATAGCAAGGACTTGACTCTCCAACTATCCTAAGCAGTCTAAGGCTATGTAGGATTTCAAACAAGAATGGGTGAAATTCATCTGCCCTCACAGCACACCCCCTATATTGCTGTATCTCTCAAACCTTCCAATACTTTCTTCCAGGTCCAGTGCCATCAATGTGGTGAAGATCCTGCGTGTTTTGCGAGTACTTAGACCGCTGAGGGCTATCAACAGAGCCAAAGGACTAAAGGTTAGAAGATTCACAATACATTCTGTAAACTATAAATTTGAGTTATTTCAGACTACAAGGACTTTTTTAATGGTTCAAGTAGTGTTTCAGCAGAATCACAGAATGGTTGAGGTTGGAAGGGACCTCTGGAGGTTATCTTGTCCAACAACCCTGCTCAAGCAGGGCCACCAAGAGCAGGTTTCCCAGGAACATGTCCAGGTGGCTTTTGAATATCTCCAAAGAGGGAGACACCATAACCTCTCTGGGCAACCTGTTCCAATGCTTGGTCACCCTCACAGTAAAAAAGTGTTCCCCAATGTTCAGATGAACCTTCTATGTTTCAGTTTGTGCCCGTTGCCTCTTGTCCTGTCAGTGGGCACCACTGAAAAGAGCCTGACTCTGCCTTTTCTGCACCCTCCTTTAAGGTATTTATATTCATTGACAAGATTCTGCTGAGCCTTCTCTTCTCAGAATGAACAGTCCCAGCTCTCTCAGACTTACCTCATGGGAAAGACGCCCCATTCCCTTAATTATACTTATGTAGTTTGCTAGGGTTACAGATAGGCTCACAAGCCTATTTTAACACAGCCTTGCTGTATTAGATAAACTCCTTGTGTGCTGGTTGGTGCCCAACTATGTAAGCTGGTGCTGCTGGAAGTTTCAGAGAGCTGAGCTCTGGTATTTTCCTATCCCCTTCTGCCTGCTTCTAAGAGTACAGCGAGGAACATAACAAGTTGGTCTTCTCAACCCTTTACTGAGACATTACTTAATGGGAAATAGTTAAATGAAATTATTTTGTTTGTATTTTTAGTCTTGGGATTCTCCCTTAGCCAGAACAGCTCAGAACAATCCTGCAAGTTACTTTTGTTCCTATCTTCCATTTGCAGCATGTAGTCCAGTGTGTGTTTGTCGCCATCCGAACCATCGGAAACATTGTGATTGTCACCACTTTGCTGCAGTTCATGTTTGCCTGCATTGGAGTTCAGTTGTTTAAGGTAAAACCATTGGGCCCATCCATTAATCCATTACACTGAACTGTATTATGGGGTAGGATGGAAAATAGCATGAAGAAGCCTGACGAAGGGGAAATGGCATCTTCTGTGCAACAGGAAAAACATTTGGGGCACTATCAGTGTTACCTGGGCTCCTCCGACCAGTAGTCCCCCAAAACTGGACCAGGCATATTCAGAACTCCTGCCCTTCATCTGTAATCGTAAGAAATCATGAGTAACATCAGTACCCTTCTTCCCTAAATTGCTTGTAGCATGACTTAGTGCCAGGCAGGTGAAGAGGGCTGTTCTGAAGGATTGATACTTGCAGGCTGTCTACTCCCCATCTTGTAGAGGAAGGGGCATGCCAGATAATCATGGGAGGTTATCCATTCACTCCTTTATGTGTGCTTTTATTCCTTTGCCCTTCACCACCCTTCTGACAACTAGTGTTCTGTGGCAGTCCGTGTTCATGCACCTCAGGACATACACACAAAAGTACTGTTCGAGTAGATGAAAGCCTGTGCTCTGAACTACCCAGAGGGAGGCAAGTCTTGATCCAGTTTGCTCACATCAGCCTGCAAAAGAGCATGTAAACATACTCATAGTTGGTTAAGCAAGTAGTAAACACAGTCTCCTTGCTACATGATCTGCCCTAACCCTTGCACTGTCAGGAAATGAAGCTTCATTTCTCTCTCTTCCTTTTCAAGGGCAAGCTGTACAGCTGCACTGATAGCTCCAAGCAGACGGCAGCAGAATGCAGGTGGGTCTGACCTTTCCCAGTTAGCCCCCTTCACTGACCACCGACTCTCAGGGCCTTTTACTGGAAGTGCAGTTCTGCCATGTGCTCTCTCTGTTCCCCATCCACAGAGGGTACTACATTACGTACAAGGATGGTGAGGTCAACCAGCCAATGATACAGCCCCGGAGCTGGGAGAACAGCAAATTTGACTTCGACAATGTCTTGACTGCCATGATGGCCCTCTTCACTGTCTCAACCTTTGAGGGCTGGCCAGAGTGAGTGCTTCTTGGACCAGTGCAACACTAGCAATGTTCTCATTCATTTCAAAAGAGAAAGTTCAAACACAGAGCACAGTATTTCCCGTTCTAAGTATTTAAATAAATCTAAATCATTAAATGTAGCAATAGTAGCAGCAGTCATTGTAGTATTATGTACTTTGTAAATTCCTCAGGGCCTGCAGGAATTGCTGTTCCTGTACTTGCAAATAGTGCACAGCACTGTCTCTAGTTCTTAAAAAAACGATTGCCAGTAGTAGCAGTGGTAGCAATATTTAGTATTTAGTATTTAGTATTATGTATATAAGTGGATATAAAATGCCTGTCAGGCACTTACCAGTACTGCTAGGTGTTGCAAGTTTCCCAGTGGAGCCAACAGGGCAATGTGAAACACAGCAGTGCTATCTCTGCAGTATGGGCAGACATGGGATGTCTTACCTGGCTATGCTGCCTGTGCCACAGGGGCCGAGGACTCCCACAGCTCCACTCTGTCAGAGTGACATGGGCACACAGGGTACCAGGGGGCTGACCCTGGCCTGGGTCATCATCACTGGGTGATGCCAACAGCAGTGTTAAGAAATGTTAAAAGTGCTGAGATCCCCTTTTCTCACAAAATTTATTTCCCAACAACACAGACTCTCCTGTCTTCTGTTAGCTGAAGGGCATGGCTTTTGTTTTAAATTTTAATTGTACAGCTATGAAAATATTTCACCCCTGAATAAGTTCAAAGTGTAAAGTTAGTAAGAGCCCTGTGTTCTCTTTTGCAAGAGTTTACACTCAGATTAGTGCAAGTCTGCAAGTGAATTAAATTTGATACAAGTAGAAGAAAATCACAAAGTTAAACTTTATAATATCACCTATAAGGCCTCAAGGCAGTTGCAGATTTTCTCTGCATTGGGCTCCTGTTTGCTTTCAGGTTGCTGTATAGGTCCATTGATTCCCACATGGAGGATGTGGGACCCATCTATAATCACAGGGTTGAGATCTCCATCTTCTTTATTATCTACATCATCATCATTGCTTTCTTCATGATGAACATCTTCGTTGGTTTCGTCATCGTCACGTTTCAGGAACAAGGAGAACAAGAGTACAAGAACTGTGAGCTGGACAAAAACCAGGTAATTTACAACACCTTGTTGCCACTAAAAGTCAAAAATACATTGAGAATAAGCATTTAAGAGAGAAATGCGTACAGAGAGGAACATGTGAAGATTGCCAAGAACACAAAACACTAAGCTGTCTTCACTGTCATCTTTCAGGAGTCAGGTAAAAAAAAAATCTTGCTCTAAGATTTTCTCAAGGGACAGCATTTACTTAAAAATATGTGCTGTACGATCACTGAGATTAGATGAACATGACAGCATTGTCTGTCCAAAGTAAATGCATATGGAACTCTTCAACAGGTTGAATATTCACATTCAGGTTATGACCAAAAAATAAATTATCCTACCAAGCATTCTTCCTTCAGTAAAAAACTTGAAATACATTGTGTTTCTATTATGTTTGGAGGTAGCTGACCAGCCCTGTATTTTGGTTTTGGTTTTTAAACCTACCCTGCCTCTTTCACAGCGCCAGTGTGTAGAATATGCCCTGAAGGCCCGGCCGCTGCGGAGATACATCCCTAAGAACCAGTACCAGTACAAAGTTTGGTATGTGGTCAACTCCACCTATTTTGAATACCTGATGTTTGTTCTGATCCTGCTG